GGAAGTGCTGCAGGACAGCAGCCCGCAAGAACTGCTGTAACCTGGTAGTAGACTGACTGGCCCTGAAATTGTGGAACCCTTTGCACAAAGTTCTAAAAACCACCAGGCACTGCTGTTCCCAAAGATCCATTTTCTACTATGATAGCTACAGAATAACGCTTTTCTCTCTGAACAGCCAAAGGGGAGCTACTGCACAGGTCCAAGTCTCCCCTCCTTGTTTCTCTCTCCCTTCCAAACCATTATCTTTCCTGCTCTGCCCGCTCTGCTCCAGGGAGCACGAGCAGCTAAGGCAGGAAAGGCTGCCAGGAAGAAGAGGAAGGAGCCAGGGAGAGTAAGGGTAAATCTGCAGAGGAATGCCCTTGTTTTTGTGCTATTCTCAGATTTTATGTTTCAGACAACCAAACTGGGCCAAGGTAATTTGCCTGCAAGGTTTTTTTTTCTAGGCTAGTAAGAAAGCTTTGCAGTTTTCAGTAATTTTCCAATCTCTTCTACTAGGTCTGGTTCTATAAATTCTAATTCATGACAGGAATTGACATTCCAAATCTTTCAGAGACTAGCAGTAAGGAAGAATAATATAGGAATCCTTAAAGACTCTATGAACCTGGAGCTGCTGATGGTGCATTTCTTTTTTCTTTATGTATTTTGTAACAGAATTTTGCTGTTGCTATAAAATGTGGGAAGCATGCAGTATTATTCAGTTTCTGAGACTGGCACATTTGATTAAATTAAACTGATCTACAAATACTTTAAGAACTATTCACCCCATCCTATAGCTAAGTTTATGGTGTATTTAATCAAACTAATATTTAGACACTTTATATCCCTAAAGGGGTCTCCTGGGGCATGTAACACTTCATTATACTAAATAAGTGTCTAAATAAACAGTTAGGTTGTTGAGCATCAGCTGCTAACACTGTGTGTATGAGAGTACATGTGTACCACCAGTGAGGGCTACCGTGAAAACAGACAGTGGACATGTCTGACCTGATTCAGACATTCAACCTGATGAGCAGCTTTCTGTTGATTCCCTTTTGCTATTCTCAGGACTAAGAAGATGAATACTTCCACAGGTTAAATAAGGAAACACAAAATGTAAAAAAAAAATAAATTATTGAGTCCTTAATTCTAAAGCAAAGAATTTATTAATTACAAATTATTTTTTCAATCGAAAATGAGCTTCCTGTAAGACTGACCTTTCTACTCACCCTTGTTTTACACTGCACAATAAAGTGACCCATCGATTTAACTTTCTGCAAATCTGCACAGACATCTGCCCTGTCAGAGAGCAGAACCACTCAGATGTGTCTTCCTAGTGGGGTCTCAGCTAGAGTGTGCAGAGAATGTTCAGGCACAGGCAGAGAAAGAGGCAAAAAAGGGACAGAGAGAAGCAGATACGATGCCCTGCATTTCAAAGGTCCTACAATAACTGGCAAAAGAGAGAAGAACAAACAAAACAAGTAAAAATTCATTTCATGCATCAGAAGGAGAAAAAAGAAAAAAGAAAAAAAGCCGAGGAGAAAAGCTATTTGTTCTCAGTGGATGCTAACAGCTTTAATTTGCAAACACTTTAAAGTATCCTTCAAACAAGGGATGCCACATTTTACAGACCTCATTCTCTCAGACACTCTGCACAATTTGCAGTGGAGAAAAGCAACGTGTGAGTAACCTTCTATTCCAAGTGGCAATAGCTTCTGCTTCCCCACAGATTTAGGCTCGACAGTTTCTGCTTGCTTACAACTTAGCTCCCCAGTAGCAGAAACACACACCAGTCTGTGGAGCATTCCTTCCAAGAGGGCAATGGATATCTCCCTAAACTACTACTGAACTCCTTTTAGATTGTCACCAACACTGTGTGGCTTCAGTGCTCTGCTCCTGGCTTCAAGCTCTGCCATTTTCCTATGACTGACTCCTGTTCCAAGGTTGAAAAGGGGAATATAAGCATATGAAAAGGAAAAACTGTAAGCAAAGAAAGAGTTACACAAAGATCCTCTTTTCAGGAGTAAACCAGACTGTAAATCTGAACTGCTGATCCTCAGCCTGACCTCTAGCCACAGCTGCCTTTCTTCTACACTACTGCAACGCACACCCCTCAGTGCCACTGGCTGCTCGTTCCACTCCACCAGCTCCGAGAGTCAGGAGAGCTTCAAAAACCTCTTTTTATCTAGCAGAAACTAGGAGGCGTGGACAATTGCGGCTGATCCCGGTGGAGCAGAAGATTATCAAACAAGGCCTTCCTGTAAAATGAAGGCAGCCGAAGTAACGCTTTGACAAACAGCTGTGAAAACATGTAGAGACTTAACAACAAACTGGGGGTACACCTGCTGGAATCTCATGGGCCATGTGAGATCCTACGAGGCTCTGCAGTTCCTCACACACACACAGGGAAACATCTTTTCTAAGGGTTGAGGTTCCAGCCTTCCTGTAGGTATGACTCGTTCCCATAGAACATGTGTCCGGCAAGGTTGCAGGTGTGTGCTTGAAAATCAGAGTGTCTGAACTTCTGGCCAGATCTGAATCTATGTCTCATCTCTGAGCACAGAAAAGAGAGCTAGCTTTTCTGCAAACTTGTTACAATTTTATTTTATTAGATTTTATTTACATCAAGAATAAGGCCTGGGAACTTGTCCAGCATTGACTGTCAAGACCTCAAGGATCTGACTTACATCTAGTATCTGACATGTTAGGAACCCACGTAAACTGGTGGCAAAAGTATCAGTCATGCTCCTTAATTTTTACAAACACAGGGTCAGAAGCTCTTTTTGTGTAACATTCCACGTTGACTGGATTCCTGTTTGCTCTTGAGTACGGGATTCATTTCAAGTAACTTCAGCCATGTAAATGATCTCTCATCTACTTGTCTGGGCTTTGCCGAGTCACCACGGAGAAGAGGCCCCTCAGAGCATAAGACAGCTCCACTGCCTGAAGGCATCTCTCCTTGAACAGGATGAGCAGCCTCCAGAGGTGCTGCTCTCTCTCCATGCAACACTATGTAAAGTTATAGTTCAGGCAAGATAATTTTAGTAACTGTGAATTGGGTGAGATATATCTCAGCCTCAGCTAATAACCTCCATCTGTGGACAAGGGGAAACCTGCAATACAAGGTGATAGCAGATCTACAAATAAACTTAATAAATTTAGCTACAGGGGAAGGTCACACAACTTTTTAGTATCATGATTACTCTTGCTGTACTTCAGTAACACTAAGGTGTACGCTCAAAAGAGCTAACAAAATGTCTATATTTTAAAATGCTGGAGGTGAGGGGTTTTTTAAAAAGAAATCCATATGCTTTTGTGTGCAACACCTGCACAAAGTTTTCATTTATAATTTAGATAGAAAAGCAGTTCACAAATCATAATGAACAAGGTCTGAATAAACACAGCAGAGGCTTATGTGCAGAGCATAAAACGCATAGTTAGACAAGACTGATGGCAGGGTTTTTGTTTGTCCCTATTAGAATTTTGTTAGAAAGATTAATCCCATTCCAGACAACTGATAGTATTGGAGACATTCTGTACAGACAGTTCAACACCTACGTCAACAATTTCATCCTTGGCAACCTGAGGCCCACTCACAGAGAAAGAGAGACCTACAGGGAAAGACACACTCATTTTTAGAAGAGCATCAGAGTCAAATGGATTTCCCATCACAAAGACAATTCATGAGGGGCACGGGGTTTTCTTTGTTGTTGTTGTTGGGGTTGTTGTTTGTTTGTTTTTTAAGTAAGGACAAGAGAAAAGAAAAAAGTCAACTGAAAGTTGTTCAATAAAATGCAGTACACAGAACTTGGTAACAAAGATGCATTATACTGCACCAATTTACATGATGGATTAATCCTGTCTGGTAGTGTCACATGCACAGTTACTCATGAATCATACTAAGGATCAGTAATAATAATAATAATAATCTAGCCAGTCAGGTAACTTGATCCAAGGTAATATTTTCTGTTAAAATGGCAAGAGAAGGGATCTCTATATGCAGTTGATAATACCGTACTGGAAAACCAGAACAACATTAAGACAAGCATCCACTGCAAATTTATATGCTCGTGGGCTGTATTGTGCCCCAGATCCACTACGGTTCATGAGATATTTGACTGCACACAAGGGGCCAATGAAGTCGCAAGGATCCAACCACATAAAGAAAGAAATCTCTTCAGTGTAATTCCCACGAGATGTTTATATTCCAACCACCACATCAGGAAAACCTTCTAACGGCCATAAATTTGAAACCACATGCAAAAGCCCACAGAGACATTTGAGCAACCAGTAGGATCATCTCTGACAAATCTTCTTTCTCTTTTTATAGTTTGTGGGTTTACATTTGTGGATGGGACTTTAGAAACCTTTTGCACAATACCCTGGCGATCAGCACCAGGCGTGCAGAGAAATCAGTGAAAAGCAGTATTTTAAAAGGCTTTCAATATTGTACCTTCCTTTGATGAAAAACAGCGAGCAAACAACAACAAAAATATTTTTCTTTACATCCATTAAAAAGGGCAAATTCATTATGAATAACAAAAAAAATGTCAAAGAGAAAAAACTTGGCTGAACTCTTTTTTTCCTTGTTACAAAACACCGACTCTTTCAAATGAAACTTTTTTTTTTTTTTTAATGTTCTGTGTTTGTGGGGTTTTTTTTGTTTGTTTGCTTTTCTGAACTGACATGATCCTCTGAAGCAAAGATATCTGCTTACACGCCTTGGTGGCAACTCAGGCCTTTTCAAGCAAATATTGCTTTATTTTATTTTAAGTTTCTAACAGAGCAAAAGCAGAGTCACTGCAGAAAGAAGCAATGAAACAAAGGAGGACGACGTTGATGGACTTCCCAAGGTCGCTGCAGGTGCCAGACAATGGTTCCCAGGAGGGGAAAACATGGTTGTTTAAAAACAAATTTGGTGCATGTGGCAAGCGTGGATGTTTCCCCGTGAGATCCAAGGTGACATGTATGACGACAGACATAGGAAAGGAGTAAGGGGAAGAAGGGAGAGGGGAGGGAAGAAAGGACGAGGAAGAAAAAGAAAGAAAGAGAAAAAGAGAGAAAAATAGATAAAAAAAATTAGGTCATAAATATAGAAAACATAAGAATCAAAGGTTTATTTAATTTTGTAAATTAAAATGGCTAAAGGTTAAAGAAGAGCATTAGCACATTCACACCGACAAAAGGGCCGGTTCAGAAGCTCAGCAATGTCCAAAGCGGCAGAGCGGGGTCCAAGTCAGGGTTTATGGGGTTTGCAGGCAAATGAGATTAAAAATGATGGAATGGAAGGCTCGGTGAGAAACACAAGGAAATGGTTATCTGGTATTTGAAAGGACAACGTTGCCTTTAAAAAAAAAAAAGCAAAACAAACCGAACAAAACCACAGTAGCTTCTGTGTAGCAGACAATCCACCTGCCTGTCCAAGTCCTTCTCCCAAAGCCAAGGCCTTGAATAACAGATCCAGGTGACTAAAACCCTGGGGAAGCAAGAAGGTCTCAAGCATACAGGACCGACTTTCCATTTAGCCTTCAGGATGCTACTCTAATGCAATTATTTCTGAAAATAACACTGTTATCCTTCCGAGGACTTAAGGACACTGTACAGATGATGGTAACAAAAGACTCTACATAATAAACATACATTTTGTCTGCAGGAAATTCCTAGCTATTACTGTCAAGCACAGAAATGCCACATTAGAGACTCCTCCTATGTAGCTCAGTTTGAAATCAAAATGTAAAAGCTAAATGCCATGAAAATTACAAGAGATGCTAAAGGAAAGGAATACACAGCCTCTTCCCTACTGCAACTTGGCACACTTGCCTTCATTGCAATGGCGGGCTGTGGACTGCATGTCAGAAAAATTTAGCCTGCCTTCCAGAAATACTTTACTCAACATTATTAGTTTGGGGATCAGCTCACAGAACCAAAGGGTCTGAGAACACCTTGGAAGGCCTAATAGAAACCAGTCCTCTACAAAATAAAAAAAACCACCCTAGAGAAACGATCACCAATCCAGCATAGCCAGCAGTAATTTCACTGCACAGTGCTCCACTTGGCCCCTGAACCACAGCACATTCTGAGAACCAACTGCATCCATCTGTTGGGTCAATCCTGCAGCAAATTTGCACCCAAACCAACAGCTTTTCAAAGTGCTTCTGACATTTCCAAGTGCAACATTTGAGTAGCAGCCTTAAATCCTGTTTACCTCCTATGCTTCCATACTATGTGAGGAATAATTTCAGAGAAGTCAAGGAAGTTACACCTGTGATAACAAACTAGGTTTTTTGTTTCCCCCGTTTTTAGAAGGTCCCTGCCCATGCCACTGTTGGATTTAAAGGGTTCAGTGGCATCTGGGCTCATCGCTCCTCCCATTGCCACGGACTACAGTACAAGCAATGTGTTTTCCAAAGGCAACGGCGTTCTCAAAATTGGCTAATACACCTGTGCAAGACATCCCAGCTGTCCCAGGTAGCTTTGTTGTCCCATTGGGCATATAATAAAGGCTAAAAGAGACTATCAGCACAGGAAGGCAACAACGGTCGCGCACAAAGGCGTGTGGAGGAACAAAAAGACTGACCAGCGCTTGTAACCTTCCCTGGGGAGACACATCACAGCGCGAAGGAACCACTGTCTGCTGTTTCCAGCCCACTGTGTTTGGCTGTGCAGCTCTGAACTGACCTTAAGGCACTGTTTGCCAAATTACCCTCACTTTCCCCTGCCACATCAGTCACAGTTGTCCTTCAAATACACGAAGGTAGTAAGTATTAGAGCTGTTGAAAATGCGAATCAGAGAGTAAGTTGCTTAATGAGTTACTCAGGGTTCTTCCACCCAAAACTACAGCCTTGTTCAAACACACATCCCAGTCTCTCCTTCTGCCCCATTCCCCTCCTCCTCCCTATCCTCATCCTCCCTACCATACACATTTTTCAAGCCCCAACCAACTAGGTCACTCATTTGTACACTTAACATCATTATCTGGCTTAATCAGGTGGGGTTTCAGCACGCAAACTGCACAAGGTCTCAGCTGTTTTCTTCGGACAGGAAGGGAGTGGTGGGCACAGTGAGGGCAGACCAGAGATTGAATTCTCAGTGCAAGAGAAAGACTGAAGAAAACTCTCTAGTTGTTCTGAAGAAAAACATGAGACTGAGTTAACAATTTAGAATACAGAATGAAATCAAATCACTCCCTTCAACATGGACTGTCAGCACCAATCTTGGCATGCATGTGCTGCTTAACTCTGGCTGTGCAGTGAGGACTTATCTTGACTGGCTCATCAGCTTTAAAGTTTGTCCATCCGCCTTTCACCAATCAGAACTTCAATTTACAGGTAGTCCAGCAATTTCAGTTTCCTGTTTTTGCTTGTGTGTTTTCTTTCCCCCAACTTTTTTTCCCCCCTTCCCTAACATACACTACTACTACCTATGTGGAAAAGAAATACTAACTGTCCTTTCAACACCCTCCACCGAACTGCCAAATTCCTAGCATATCCACTAAAGGGTCTGCTTGTTTTTCCTAGCATCTGTGCTTCTACCTCACTTCTAAAGCATGCTAGTAGGTTCAGTCTATCTGAAACAAGAGTTTCCAGCAGCATTCTAATGCTATTTAGTTACTTTTCCCTAATGTCCTACCCAACATTCTAACAGTGCTGTTTTAAGATTACTGCAATTTATATCCATTTCATTTAATAAAAAACCTTCAGAGAAAGATTTTCAACTCCTCCCTTTTTGGCCGCTAGCAAACTCCTTATGCCTTTTTCTCTCTCCAAAGGCTGAGCTGGATGGATGAACAGGCAGTAAGCAAGCCCAAGGCAGATTTGGGAGGGAAATCTGCATTGTGGAAAGCATCCCCCCCCTAGGGATCTGAATGGTCTCTTCTGCTTTAGTTTCAAACAGGAAACCTGCTTCTGGGTTTCAGATAGCATTTTCTATCCACTGCTTTTCTCATCTGGCAATCCTGTTACCCTGATGCAAAAAGCCAGCCTTGCCTGTAAACACACAAGGATTTGTCACGTAGCATTCCTAACAGTGCACTGCTAATGCTGTACATACTGTAACGTGGACTACATACAGGTATGTACATGGCAAAAACTAAGCTTCGGATGGGTAACCAATTGTGATAATGGCTTTAAGCAAGCAAGTTGTCAGGGTTACTCAGGCACATTAAAGGACGCAGCACTGTTGCATTAATTGGCAGCAGAAAACAATGATAAAGCTTATGACTGCTGTACCTGGGATGACAGTAGGCTGAGCAGAAGTTCGGAAAGCATAGTGAGCTGGTTTGGACTTCCCTTGCTGGTTTTCAGCTATCACATAAACCTCATACTCCGCATTCCAGTCCAGGGCCTTGAGCATGATGTGGTCACTGCCAGATGGAAGTCTGATCTCTGGTTTCCACTCTGAGGAATGCTTCTGCAGAGCAGTGAGATGACAGGCAGGGATGCAAAACACACAGCACAACATTAGTAGTCAGCTTGGAGAACACCGTAATGGTGAAGTAACAAGTGGAAAAAAGGGGAGGTTTCTGCACCAACACACGCTCCTCAGCTGCTTCAGGGGTGCAAAACATCATGCGCTGTTGGCTCTAAGTGGAGAGGACAAGAGATACCGAAGCAGCCTCTTTCCTGCTCAGAATCCTGTTTTCTGCAGCATTGCCACACCTGAAGAAAATCCTTCAGTTCTTCCTCTCATCTTTGCCACATCACTAGACTATTTCCATTTCAGAGTGGAAAAGCTACAACTTCTGTATGTCTCTGCCCTGCAAAGAACTTTAAGAGCGTTTTTTCATATCAAATTTAAATCATATGAGAGACAGAGATTTACCTCTTAACAGGGGTCTGGCCTAGCTCACCGCTACCATTCTATTCTGCGCCATTTAAGAGAGATTTTAAAAGATGCATGCAACTAGTAACTCTGATAATTCCTACTCCAGTTTCAGGGAATCCACATTTCACCCAGATGGATCTGAAAACCCCCCTGCCAAGGTGCCTTGAGACAGACAGTTTTGTGGGACTGGAGTGTGCCAGCAGGCTTTTCTATCTCTGCTAGAATTTATGGTTCTGGGATACTAGATTGTCCTTTTGACATTCCAAAGACTCTCCCCATTCTAAAAACCTCTAAGTAACCTAAAACGCACAAAGTGATGGTGGTAACAAACGCTCTTGGGATTTCTAGACTGCAGTGCAGAGTTTGCTCTGTGACTTTACTCTAAGGATTGTTCATTTGTAGCACATAAGGAAAAGATTACTAATAGCCACACTGGAATTATGTCAGCACCACATCTGCCAGACTCAGTCGTGGGGAAAGTGTCCTGGTTTCTCAATAGCTGGAAAGCTTCCGTATTTCAGCTCAAACACACTGGTACAGCTAAGCTGTCCCCAGGTGTCTTAAGGCTGAGAAAGTGTGCAGACAATAGAAAAAACCTGCAATAACTTCTGGCCGTTCTTTCTACTGCCCTGAAGAGCTTCATGTGCTCATTGTCCCTCTCTCAAGGTCCTGTTCCTCAAGGATGTGCTAAGCAATCTCTCTGACTGGGTGAGGTCTTTGTTGTTGTCGTCGGGGTTTGTTTGTTTGGTTGGTTGGTTTTTCGTGGAATTTGTTTTTTTCATTTTCCTATCATAGGAAAAAACATCAATACCACTGAACTCAAAACAAGGGCTGTGTCCAGCTCACAACAATACTAGCTGCTCATTACATAGATGTTCTTTCCCAAGACAAGGGCTAGATGGCTTGCTCAGAGAATTATGTATTTTGCAATCCCGGGTAATTTACAATGAGAGCTGATTAAGTTGGGCCTGAAGGGGAACTGCTTCCAACAGCATCTCTCACTTTGACTGTATCTATACTGACCACATCGAATGTCTTACTCAATCATCTGCAGAACAATTTGGTACTGAAGCACCCATTACTCAATCAAATACGGCAATTTCAATGACCAGTGGAAATCAATGATTAGATACACGTCTGCAGGTGATCAATGCTCTAACACTATGAACCTCTGGTCCCCAGCTATTTAAGTCATTGCTGGCAATCCCATCCCAGAAGATTATGAAATGAAATAATACTAAGTGCATGGAATTACCATATGCTTACAGTTCTACAGAAGACAGTATGGAGAAGCAATCTCTCATAGTCAAAGTGAAAGGCAAGAAAATGAAAGATTTTGTATGTTGCTTCCGCACATGTCATGTCTAATACCCTATATGCTTCCACCACACCTGCTTAGCATGTGTTTCTGTGCTGGCCGACCTACAAGACCTTAGCTTCAGGGTTGTCTGCCTACGCTGTGAAGCCTGAGTACTGTACAGGCTAAATACAAATCAGGCTTGAGTTGTCAGTCATACTTACAGCTTTGTATTTGATCAGATAATGTCTAATTGGGGAGCCACCATCATCCTGCTTGATAACGTTCACTTTAATGGAGTTTCCATCTTCTCCCATCTGACCTTCCAGTTTGGGTGCGCTAGGTTCCCCTGAAACAATAATGGATTTATATTTAATTATAAAAATATTCATTAGGGAAAAAGTACTCATCAAAATCAGAAAAATACTTTGTTACACTCAGCTGCCAGGGTATCAGCCTCACTCTGACCCAGACACATAGGACGCTGTGCATCTAGGGTACAAATATTTGCAGGACCCAAGTATTTCTTGCGCATGGTATTTCATTTTCACCAATACAAGTTACCATTTTTGTGTGTCAGAATGGAGTCAGAGGCTAAGCCAGAAAGAGCCCACCCTTCCCCAAGAATACCCTAGGGCAACGAGCAGTTCCTTGCTATTTTTGTTGTAAAACGCTGCTGTGAAACACCCGGAAAATGTCAAGATAGGGTATGTGGCAAACAGACAGGCTGCTCCTGGGAAATGTAGATGTAAAGAGCATCACTGGAAAGGGACACTATGCTTGTCATACAGACCTGTGCTCGCACTTTAAACGTTGTTTAGGTTTTAGAGTTGCTGGACCAGAGATTCACTGGTGTGCCCACTTACATGGCTGTGGAAAAAAGGGTACTGAATCACAACAGCATGTCCTTTCACTCAGCTTGCACTGGTGGAACTAATTTCAATGAATACAAGCTGGAAAGAACTAGACCCCTTCACTCTCCTGTAATAATAATTTTTAAAATAAAAATCTATCATTTCTCAATTTGCACCCCTGACATCAGCAGAAAACTGAAGTGTCATTTGCCTCTGCAGGGCACACTGATTTACAGCCACATCCTTTCACAGCCATGGCTCTTAAAACTGCTTTTTCTAGCCAATTCATCCATAACCTGCAGACACAATCTGCAGAGGATGCAGCAATCCCAAGCTCAAGTACTTTCTTCTTGCACCTTTACTATAACACCTCTCCTAACAAAAGTCAAATCCACAGATAATCCGATTACACATTTCCACGCTCCTCCTCCCTCTGTCCCGCCTTCAGAAAAACTGCAGCAAATTGCTCAAGAGACATGCTTTCTCCTTCTGCTTTCATATTACCTCAGGGATCAATTGTTTCCAAAGTGCTCTGTCAGCCTGTCAATTTACTACGCAAGAGGCATTATTCCCTATTTATTTGTTTTTGTGGAAAAAGAAATCCAACAATCGAATAACCCCCTGTCCCCAACAACATAAGTATCAAAGTAGTTGAGACAGGAAAGCACTGGTGTCTCTCTTCAGAAGTGGCACAGACCACAAGAGAGCTCAGATCCTGCTATTTTTCTGGCAGTGTCTGGATGCTTGCATTGCTCCATTTCATGCAAAGGCAAGAAAGGCTTAGGTTCCTCTGTGCCAATGTTCATCTGAGACTGGAGATAGAGCTATCATTTCTACAACCCTGAAGCGTCCCAAGAGTTTAAATGCTTGTCAAAGTCAGTAAGACTTGACAAAATTTATCATAAATCTTGCTGACACTTGCTAGGTCATTTTATACAGTACTTGCTAACTTCTTTAGTATCAGCTCTGCTATTTAGTCTAAGTGCCTAAGCCATTTATTCTGGGCTTAAAAGTTTCTGAAGAACGCTTGACCATTTCAGCTGCTGTTCTTGGGAAGCTATTCTGCCCAATTTATTTATGTGTAATTTGAGGAAAACCAACACTGCAATTATTTGTAAGTTAAAACTTACAAATCAGCTGCAGCTGGCAATCCCAGCAAATTCCTGAGATTAATTACACTCTGCTGGCTGGTCCCATTACAGGGTCCTAATTCTTACAGGTATTTTATATAACAATTAAACCAGTTGAATGTTACAAAGCAAAAAAATTCCTACACCTCTGTTTAACCACAGGTAAGCACATTTTATGCATTTCTGAAGTTATTTAGGGCTGACTACAGGAAATGTATGTACAGAGAATGCAACAGACAAGGCACATCCTGCGTTTTGCTGTGCACCTTCAATCTAAATACACTTCCCAAACACTTGCAGCCCCAAACGTTTGCACAGGTTTGCTAATGCTGAGCGCACACCGTTCTAGCTCAAAGTGATCTACAGTTCTGCTAAAGCACCTCTGTCTTTACTTGCAGTGTCACTTGTGGTTTGGATAATGGACTTCCTGGAACACATACTTACAGATACAGGAAAGTGTGGTGAAACGCAAATAAAAGATGATCCAATTCTGAACGTATCCCCAAGAGAACAACACTAAAACTCTGAAACATTCATGGCTTCAGAGCCTGAATGCAACCAAATGAGAACAAAACCAGAACACTGAAGTAACACTTGTGACTTTTTAAAAGCTCAGCCTGTTGCCTAGAATAAAACTTTTTAAAAGATTTAGTCTGTTGCAGTACACTAAAAGTGAAAATAATAAGCCAGCAGTTGCATTAAGATCAACTCTGAAAGATAACATCAGTCATGGGAATTTACAGGAGCTTCTTTCAAGCCCAAACCCACTCTCAATTCTAAATCTATTCTGTCCAGATTTGTATTCAGCTACTAATGGAGAGCATGTGCATTTCTGACTGGCCAGAGAAAGGTTAATCTTCCAATATCTTTCAAAGTTGATCTTCAGGAGTAATTTGAAGCCCTTTTCCCTCCCCATTCCCTTCCAAAGAAAGAATTCAAACACATTTTGTTTGCGAAACATCAATGAGAACACTGAAAGATCTAGACTGAAACAGTAATTTAAGATTAATTCAATTTCCTTGCAGGCTAACACATATTCTGTCTAACATACCAACTGTTTCAAGAAGGTAATTACAAACTATAGATACACAGAGCTCTGATGTGACACAGACATTTGTGTTTCACAACATAATAACTTCTCTTAAAGATGTGAAGAGGGAATGCTAATTTTTCCCATGCTGTATTTTTCTTTTCCAAATCCTTGCCCCTCTCTGCCTCTATCTCCATTACAAGACTCCCACGATATGAGCTGGACACTCAAGAGCTGTATTCTACCCTGTGACCGGTTTTTCAGTGACTGTACATTGAAAACACAAAGGTTCTTTCAATGTGACCACGGAGCTGCCCTTGCATGGACCCGTAGTGAGGTTTGAAGCAGATGGCACACAGGAAGAGGTTTTCCTGTTCATGCTACAAGAAGTGCTGTGCACTCCTCTGGAGTTCTCCTGATTCACACAGTATAGGGCCATTCACAACTCCAGAAAGGATATGAGATGTGTTTAACTGATGACCACATTTGCCACCTACTGTATAGAAAAAAAAGGGGGGAGTGTTACCTTTACTGCCAACTAACTGAGGCTATGTATTTGAAAAGCCCTCCCCAGTCCATGTTCCTCCTGGAATTGTGCATGCTGAAAGCATTCAATGCATACAGTGCATTGCAGATTTAAAATTAAACAGGAACAAGTGAGTTCTAGATGAGCAGAAGTACCTCACTGAGGCATACTGAAAGTATTAGATTAACCAAGCAACTACATTTTTTTCTTTCTTCAATCCTAGAACAAAAATATCACCAGTAAGGTTACTGGTTTTGACTATTGAGTTGATCTCAGTTGAAAAGCTATTACTGCAATATTTGTGTCATGACATAATTAAATGGAACCAGAAGCAAATGTCTTGTTCTATCATTTTTTTCACACAAGAAACTATCTCCCAGTAACAAATGGGGGTGAGGCAATCATGGCTACTTATTTTGCTGGACACTGAGTCACTTGACAGTGATGAAACATTTACACGCAGCAATGCTTAACTGTTGCCATATTTCTGGTAGACTTGATGAATGGCTTCACTGATAACTAGACAGTACAAGATCAACATCTCCTTGGTACTATTTCCCACCCTTACCTCAGAGAGATAATTAGTCATAAGAGATCTTGAAGTGACAAGGGAACACTGTACTTCCAGAATCTGACCTCTTATCTAACACAGGCTAGAAATTGTTTCCAGTGACTGAGCACCAAGACTAAAACATGAAGGAACATCCTTTGGAAAGATGCTCATTCTTGATAGATTTTAAGTGTCAGAGATGCTGTTGTACCTTAAACATAGCCATTCCAATGATTAATTGACCCTCTCTGCTAAAACTTTTCTTCACTTGGAATTGTCTAGTTTCTAGCTCCCCATTCCTTCCTTCCTTAATAGTTTAAACACACTTCTGCTCTGAGAAACATCCTCTTCAAATAGAATATGGACCACTCCTAATGGCTGAAACTCAACAGGTACAGCAGTGCAAGCCCTGGTGAAGAACAGTTTAGTTTTCTCTACGTAAATACATAGCATTTAATTTATCTTAAGCAGGCAGATGTAATCCAGATACAGAGCTGAAAAATTAAAAATGGGTTAGTGTGTAGTTTCAAACAAAGGAGGAAGAAGTTTAGTGGGAAACGTTTAGTCCAGCAGAATCAGCATCCCTATAATGAGTTAAAGTGTCAGTAGCTGAAGAGAAAAGACTGTCATCAGAAGGTTAGAGAAGAAACTCATGCTCACAGAACATGCATCCTCCCTACTGGATGGGGGCTGAAAAGCAAAAGTGCATTATAATGGTGTGCTACATACCTGGGGAGCTCACGTTTACACTGAGCTGACTGGACATATTGCAGAAATCTGCCTATTCCACCCATAAAATGTGGGATCCTTAAAGAATCCCCCTTGCGATGCTGCTACTTGGTTTATTGAGAGCTGACAGCTCCAAGCATGCCAGATTTCCTCTGTATAATCATTTTACAAACACCTATCTGCTCAGAATTCACTCTGCTGCAGAAGGAGGGATGCAGGATCTTACGCTTTCACTCTGTGGTGCAACAATGCTGAGTGATTATGTCTGAGCCAGATGGCACCTTATTCAGCCCAGAAACGAGAGTATCAAATAATGCAAGAGGAGCTCTCTGGAGGGCAAGACAAATAACCTAATTTTTCACCTCTAGGCTTTGCTCTCCCTATGAAATGAGATGGATTTTGCTCAAAGACGTAAAGTTTACAGGTTTCAGCCACCCTACATACTTCATTAGAACTTGACCACTTTTTTTATCCACTGCTGCTAAGCTATTAACACCAAAAATCTCCAGCTGCAGGGAAGCAGTAAATGT